CAGACCTTCTTTGTCCCCAGCTCTGAACTCCCTACCACAGGCTATCTTCAGAGGCCCCAGATGTTCATCCTGGTCATGGAGGATTCCTATGATGGAAAGCCAGCAGGCAGAGGGCAGGTGTCACACAGGCCTGGTGAAGGCTGCCTCTCTAAGCACACAAGCCAACTCCTCTCCTCTCCCAGCTTTGTTCCTTCAAGTTCCCACTTTACTTTGTTAGATGAGATGCCACCAATTAGAGATCTAATCCTGGTCTGAAAACACAGATGTGTCTCAATATCAAAAGGCCACAGTCACTCACACAGTAGTGTGAATATATTCATCTCATGGGTTTATCCTAGCACCTGGAAAGGCAGCTTCAGTGTTGATCTGAGCTCTCAGATGGGCCCAGGGCAGGGCTGAGAGGCTGCACAAGGAGCTACAAGCTGGTGTGGGGAGTGGTACTCATCCCTGAAGGTGCAGGCCTAAACTCTGAGTTGCAAAGAAGGCCTTGGAAATAAGTCGCGTGTAACACAAAAAAAGTTTCTCCAACGCTTCGTTTTTGAAAAGCACTCTTCAGAAATTGAAAATAGCATCCACTGTGGCAGAATTTAAAAGTTCTTCCCATGTTAGTGGAAATTTCTCTCTGAAGTGAATGATTAGGGCAGCGGGTGCCGATCAGGCTCTGGCATACACATTGCACTCTCACAGCACACATTCATACTAATGACGCACATGTCCGTATGCATACGCACACCACTCACGTGCTTACACACATGCACACCATTACATGTGCACACAGGCACACAGAGACAGCATTTGGACACGCGCACACATTGCACACACATCTGCACACCAGGTGCACACACCACTCATTCATGCCCAGGCACATGCGCTTTCTGATGCTCAAATGTGGTGTTGGCTCAGCCCTCCTTATTTGAGGGCTCCTCGGCGCTGTGCATCCCAGGGTGAATTCTTTCCTATCTTCGTTTTGGTTGCAACCTGGGTGCTAGGAAAGCTGACCTGCTTTCCTTACATCTTTTCTGCCTCCTCACTTCAAGATGTTCCAGCGTTTCTCGTTATGGCCATTTGGCTCCAGTCTCTGCTCGTCTTCACAACGTGCCTCTCCTCTGACTGGGTGGATGAGAGCCATCTCTGATCACCTGAATGTCACACATCTGCAAACACACCAATTCCAAATATGATTCCATTTGCATGTACTTGGAGTTAGGGTGTCTACACAGTTTAGGGGGATGTGATCCAAATCCAACACTCTTCCGTTTGTTACGCTTTCTCACTTAGGAGTTCCAAAGGCATTTCTTTGATGTTGTATCACTTCCAGCAACATTTCTTATGCTAAGTCTGGGTCCTCAGACACTGCCCTCAAAAGTCTTGTCTACACAGCCCACTAAAGTGATTTCAATTCAGCTACATCCTGAAGCAAGAGTTGGAGTAAGATTTCTGAGGTTTCAGGACAGCAGAGAGCTGCTCAGATGAGGGCAGTGGTGCAGGCCTTCCCCTGCCTTAGGATGCAACTGTGATTCAGAGCGGAGCCCAGTTCCTGCCCCTGACTCTCCACCTTCTCACCCTGAAAGTTTCTGGCAAGGCACTGGGGCCAGCCTCAGATGACTGTGTGGTAGAAGGGCCACCATTCAGGGCTCACGACAATACTTGCTCACCTGCCTCACAAAAGGGTGCCCCAGGCTGGCCCCCAAGTACTGAGCACACATGGCCCATTTGGATGGTTGCATTCTAGGGCAACCAGTCATCCACAACCATCCATCCATCCTGGGAAAGTTGACCTTCCTCTTGCCTGCCCACCCAGAAGAGGAATGAGGATCTTTGAAAAACAAAGCAAACAAAATGGAAAAGGAGCCTACTGTATTGCTGTAGCCAAAGAAGCTGAGGGTCTTCCCACCCCACCCATCAGAAGAGGCCCAGTCCCCAGTGCCTGCCATTCTACCAGCAGCTCTTGGGTAGAGCAGCCAGTGTGGGGAGGACAGAGGAGCTGCTCTCAGCTTTGAGGGGGGATTTCAGGAAATAATTAAATGAACTTGAAGGAGGACTAAGCTTAGGAAGACCCTCTTGTTTAGTCCCCCCTCCACTTACTCTTTCAGCATTTAATGATTTTTCCAGTGAGTTTGAGGTTTTTAGAATGTTCTGGGAGGTTCTATGGAGCTGCTGTTCTCCTGGGCTCTTTGTCTGAGCTGTGAAAATTGTTCTAGTCATGAAGAGGGCAGGACCCCAAGACACTGCCAGAGACCATCTGCCTACGTCCCCTGTCCTTTGTGCTTTGTTTGGATTTAGTACCATGGAGCAGACACCAAAGCTTTGAGGGCATCAGCTTTATTTGGGATAAGTTATGAGGGAAGGGAGGAAATGGACACCTTGGGACCACTGGGGATGGGTCCTTGCACTCAGAGAGTGCATACACCTTAGGAGTCAAATATCAGGCAGATTCAGAAAAAGCCTTGACAGGCCTCCCAGAGATGCCACATCTCCTCTGGACTGGAGACACACCTCATCCCCCAGGAGCCTGTGGGAGTCAGAACAATGTCCTGGGGAAGCCCAGACCATGAACTAGTTCCAAGAACCCCACAAAGCCCCCGAGGCTCCAAAAGGACTGGCCCGAGGAAACCAGTATCCAGTGACAGTGTTAGTTTTCACTTTATCCTAGGGGCACCAGTCTGCCCTGCGAGGCTCAAGATGGTGGGCCATTTGGGGCTTTCTTTTTGAAAGTCCTGGTGGGCTGAGTCACACCAAAACACAGCTCAGGTGGGTAGGGTTGAGGGTCCTGGAAGTCTGGTAGTTGGAGGATGGGGAACCATGTGGGAGTTGCAGAGTCTAAATTTGAACAGTGATGAGAAATGCAGAGAGATGCACTGCCTTTTCTGTCACTAAGAGGCACAATATTTCCTAAAGTGCTCCCAATATTGACTGAAAACTTAACCTCAGGTCAGAAAATAGCACAAAACTTTCTCTTCTGATATTTATAAAAATCTGTACACTACCCCTAAAGGGTTCCCCGGCAATGCCTGGACACATGCTGATTACACCTGATGCCACATCCCTCCAGACTGCCCAGGCAGCCACATTGCCAAACACAGCTGAGAAGCTCTGTGTGTGGGTTTCACTCTGCACTTTGGTCCAAGAGTTAAGCCTGTCTGCTGAAAATATTCCTTCCTGGACAGATCATTTACAAGCGTGGCCACTGACCCAGGAGGAAGGCACAGGTACACTTACCCCTTCAGCAAAGCTTCCTCCTTTTGCCTGGAACAAGTTTATCTTACACCTGTTTTCCACCTGAAAGCTAGAAGTTTGTCCCAGTCATGACCACAGTGCATGCCATAGTGCATCCCAGACACCTTTAGAAAACCAACCCACAAAGGCAGGTTTGCGGCCTGCCAGCCACTATGACTCTCAGCTCCTTCCAGCAGTCTTGCTCCCTTCTGGTTGACCACCTCCCACTTTTCCTGGGTAACACAATACCCTCCCACGCACACCATGGCCCTCACTGCTTTCATATAGTATGGTCATGGGTCATCTGCACAGCAGGCCAGCTCAGACCCCAGCCTCAAGGAGTCCAACCTGGAAGTTCCCAAAACTCCAAATAGCAGGATCATGACAAAGTCAAATTGAGTGCTTATGTTTTGAGCTTATTTAGAACAAGGCATATCCCCGCCTTGTCTTCTAATCACTTTGCACAAGTGTCCTGTTGAAAAACTCAGACAGACTCAAAGGAGGGGAAGTGAGAGGAGAAATAAGCCATGGGCTGCAAGCCTGGGGCTGAACATCCTCACCAGCACAGCTGTGCATTTGTCAAGTAAAGTGGCCACACTGTGCCCCTCCACAAGCCCCTTCCAGAGGGAGAGCGTTGGCCGGGGCTAGACGTGAGTATCACTGGCTTTTATTTTGTTTTCACCAGAGCCTGTCTCCAGCCTTCCTCCTTGAATTTTATGTAAACTCTGGGGCTCTGCTGGCTAAAAGTGAGTTCTGTTTTTCGGCAGCCCCATGGCTTTTGGACTTAACAGACTTGAAGTTAGTTCATGGCGACCCAGACGCACATCACAGCTCAGAAACCACACGGGAGCCATGTCGGTAAAGGCAGCCGCGTCGTGGAGCAGCCAGACTGAAATTTATACCAGTGACCTGGGCCTTGTCAGGCCTCATGACAGCGTGTAAAGTGAATCGCAGCTTAGTCACCAATTTGCTTGGCAAGGGCCAGTGGATTAGGCAATACATCAAAGGTCAGACAGTAGGAGTTTGTCTAGACGGTCTATTTCAGATTCTAAGCTCAGTCCATGTGTTTCTGTAGCAACCACTGCAAACACTGATATTTTAGCAGTATTGTAAAAAGCTTCGCTTTCTTCTTCAGTCATGGGAAGGCCTCTGTGTCAGCCGCTGTGTCCAGTGCCTGTTTTCTGCGGTGTCTTCCACTTCCTGGATTTAGAGACTACAAGCAGCTGGTTAGGAGGGCACTCCACTGACCCCTCCTACCATGGTTCCCTGGGGAAGGTCCTCTCATCCTGTGGGGAGAAGCAGAGCTCTCTGAGGTCTAAGAAGAAGCAGGCACAAGCATCACACATGCAACCTTTAAACACCATGCTCTGTCCTGTGCTGAGAGGCAAAGAGAAGGGTGGAAAGAAGCCAGGAGAAAAGGAGGAAAGTGGCCTGGAGCCTGAGACCGGTGGAGCTGACAAGACTGTTCCCTGAGGCTCTGAGCTTCATAGGACACGGGATGAAGTCTGAGGACTTTTGTGGCTGTCACAACCGGGGAGCTCCTGGATCCCCTGGGTGGAGCCACAGAAGCTGCTCCGCAACCCACAGGGCCCATTCAGCCCCACACAGTAGTGTCCCCCAACAGCCACCATGCGGAGAATGAGAAGACCCATCTCAGAGAATCATGCCAGGTAATCCCAGGAAAATGCTCCCAAATGGTCGGTTTTAGTTCCATAATGTTTCGGTGAGTCCTACTCTTCCTACTACCAGGGCCACCTGCTCTCCTCATCCACTTAGGACGAGTGATGTCAGCCCAAGTGCAGAGGACTCTGGACTCTGGGCACTGCAGAGGTAAAGGGTCTCACAGGCTGAATACACTTGCCAACCTCCAAGCTGAAAAGGGCAGGTTTGCATCATCCTCTGAGTCAGTATTATGAGCACTCCCAGTAGTGCGAGCACCATGATCACTCTAGAAAGGCAGATCTGCAGCTGGATGTAGTGGCACCTGTAATCCTAGAACTCCAAGAGGCCAAGGCGGGAAGATCACAAGCTCAAAGCCAGACTGGGAAACTTAGCTAGTTAGCAAGACCCCCATCTCAAAACTTTAAAAAATAATAATGAAAAGATGTAACTCAGTGTGAAGGCCCTTGGTTCAGTCCCCAGTACTAGAAGAAAGAGAGAGGCCTGCACACATAGCACTGGTAGTGCTACAAGAAGGGGGTATGGGCCCAAACATTTCTATTCTCTCCCCTCTTCCCATGCAAATAGCTTGGGGGATCTGGCTATGTTAGTTATTGCTGCTCTCCACAACATTTTCCAGGTGTCAAACCTGGCTAGGAGAGAGGGGCTGTATCTTTGGAATTATGTTCTAGGCCTCCCAAGTGACAGGCTGCATTCTCTCCTTCATGGCAGTTCTGCAGATAGTTCTAGGCCACAGACTTGGGACACAAAGTCCACCTTACTTTGGAAAGTAAGGGAGCCCACAGCCTGTGGCTCATCGCTCTCCTCACTGCTGACCCAGTTTGCCAAGCATAAGTGTGCTTGGTGGGATGAGCTCACCAAGTCTTCTCAGCCTCTCTTGGCTCCCATGTGACTGGACCATCAGGGTGTGGAGTCTGAGCTAACTAGCTAATGTGCTTCTGAGTGATGTCAGCAGGGCAGGTGTCACTGGAGGCTCCCATGAGTGGAGCCCAGCCTAGTTGAGATGCCCGTGTAACCAGATTTTTGCCTCCTCTGATATTTCAATTCCTGACCCTGTGGGTCTGTGCATTTAAGAATGGGAAACATTTGTGTCTGTCTTAGCGTGGGTTCTCACACTGAGGAGATAATATTACAAGATGGGGAAGAGTGGTGAAACAAGTCCATAGGTAAGCTCCTGTCAGGGTATCCAGAACTCTGTGCACCAGGTGGGAAGTGGGGATCAGAGACCGGGCAGAGGGCAGGGCTGGTGTTGCACTCTGTGCTGGGTGAATGGCCACTTCCCATATATCACAGTGCCTGTATGCCAGGAGATCAAACTCTGGGGCAGGACCAAACCCTCAGCTGGCTTCTCAGGCAGGTGTTCCAGGACATGATAAAGTGAGAGGAATGAATAGGTTGCCACTGTACACCACAGGGCCTCCACTGTTTACCTTGTACTGGCTCAGGGATGACTTGATGAGATAAGAAAAGGAAATAGAAAAGTGAGCTGGCAGAATCTAGGGGGAAAAAAACCTTCACAGTGCAAGAAAGCATAGAAGTAACACATTGGAGCCAGACTATGCTACGGGGAGGAGCAGAGAGCTTGGGTCTGTTGCAGATAAGAGTAGTCAGGAAGATTAAAGAAAAAAAAGCAAAATCAAAAGTCAGACTCTGGAGGGAAGCAAACAAAGGAAAAGAAACTTTTACAGATGCGTTTCAAAGACATTCTAAAATCTGCTGACCAAAATTGTATGTTTGGCAGTGTGTCTGATGTATGTGTCTCTGTGTATGTGTACATGTAAGTGTGTGCCTGTATGTGTATGTGCATGTGGGTGCAATATTTGCCATGTGTATACATCCACACACATAAATTTTAATTCCTCATAAGGGAATCATACTCTTTCCCCCTTTCTGCTACACCTAGTAATTCCATCCCTACCACAGCTGTTCTGCATAGAGTTCCAGGCTGTATATGATCTTGAAAACTCCTCCTTTATGTCACTGTCACAGTTGTCTCCTGGTCTTTCTGCACAATTTAAATCCACCAAGCATTCTACTAAACTCCTCCAGAGGCCTGGACCCTGCCTATGACTTAGCTACATGCACATCAGCTTCCTGGGGGCCTGCTTTGAGGTGCCCACCTTGCACCAGGGGTGTATTTAGGAAGTAATGCTGGCTGGGCCAGGGATTTAGGTCAGTGGTTCTGCCGCCTGCCTTGAAAGTGCAAAGACCCAAGTTCTATCGCCAGTACCAAAAAGAAAAAAAATCTAGAATGCTGGTGCTAGACTGTCAAGGTGTTGCTTCATCTGGAGTATGACCTCATAGGTGTCCTCCTGCTGTCCCTAGCCAGGCTCTCTCCACTGGATGATCGATGCTTGGGGTAGTGAAACTCTGCGGGGCTGTCCTAGGCCCTATAGCATATTCAGTAGCAATCCCACTCTCTACCTACAAGATGAAGCTTCATCTCGTCTGAGTGTGCACAATATAAATGTCTCCTAGTTGTCACTCAGAGTCAACAACTCAGCTTTGGGCTCAGCCCATGATAGATCCCCACCCCAAATCCAGGGTGCAGGAATAGCACAGTGGGCCATTAGGTTTGGGAACACACACCCTCCAGCACATCCTGTGTTTCCACAGCTGACCTTAGCTGCAATGCTCACCTGTCTGCAGAGCCTGATCTACTCTGAAACCACCCCTCTAGCTTCTGACCTGGTTTAAATCAATATTCTGGCAGTAAAACATCCCCTTCACTTTTATCCCTCTGAAATGACCTGCTTTTCCTCCTCTCATTTTATGTCGAAGAAAACAATGCCTGATGAAACAAAGCTCGTCTTCCTTCCTTCCTTCCATGTGCAGAGGCCAGGTGCTTACCTCCTAAACTGCCATTTCCTGACACATACTACCTCCGCCAGCAGAGCGCAACAGGCGGAAAACGTATACTCCCGGGGCTGAGAGCGAATGGTCGCACCTCCCATCACAGACCAGAGTATGTCCGAGTCCAGATGTGGACATCTGTCCGGCCAGAAGTCACGGTCCCAAGACCTCTGAGCCTCCTGGGACTGGCTCCGACTGAAGCTCTGCTGCAGTCCGCCTCATGAGCCCTCACCAAGGTCTGCCTGCAGCTGACCGTTCTGAACCATTATGGGGCAGGAAGCACTGCAGGGAAGATGATGAGGGACAGCCTCAGCATCAGGGCACCGTCAGGTACATAGTGAAAAGGATTTTTATTTTTAAATTTTTTTGTTAGTACATTTTCACAGTACATAATGATTACATCCATCATGGGGAATTGGTACATGTACATAACACAGTCTTAATTCTTTTTACTCTCCCTTCACCTCAAGTTGAAAAGAAAAACTTCTAGCAAAGGGGACATCCCTACTAAAAGACCACCAGTCTCAAGAGCAGGTGTCAGTGTTGTCCCCACCCTGGTGGATAACAAGAAGGCTCAGCTAGTGGGAATTGCACATGATGTGGGCCTCATTGAGTTGCTTCCTGCCTGTCCTGTGTTGCAAAACAGGGGCTGGGTCTGCATCATCAAGGGGAAGGCCAGGCTAGACCACAGGAAGATGCACGCCGCTGTGGCCTTCATGCAGGTCAACTTGGAGACAAAGGCTCTGGTGAAGCTAATGGAAGCTGTCAGGACCAACTGCAATGACAGATATGATGAGATCTGCCATCAGTGGAAAGGCAAGGTCCTGGGTCCAAAACCTGTGGCTTGCTTTGCCAAGTTGGAAATGGTAAAGGCTAGAGAACTTGCCATTGAAGTGGGCAAAATATACTCTCGAGTTTTGAGTATTTTGTACATAGAATAATAAATTGTTCTTAATCCAGGAAAACAGGAGGGAGAAAGGATTTAACAGAGAGGCAAACAGACCTGCAATTACAGAGTAAGAACAGATGTGAGACAGGGATAGGTCTATGATACAGTGTAACCCTGGGGTCAGGACAGCCCCTGCTGACTGCAGCTCATGATGAACTCTAAAAGCCCAGAGCAGTTAGTGTTGCAAAACTGGAGGACAAGAACCATAAACATAGCCATTGGAAAGACGCAGGCAGCTGAGACATGGATGTGAGTGAGAAGCTTGGAAAGTCCACATGCCACAGATATGGTGGGGACCAGGAACAGGCTGTGGCCCAAAGAAGGGGGAGATGCAAGGCAAGGGGAGATAGGAAGCTGGGGACAGGAAGCTGAGGGAAGATGGACAGAACTCTGGGTAGCTATCATTTCTGATTCCTCTTGTGAGGTAGGTGTTTGCTGTTTTCTGAGCCCATCTTCATGTGTCTTTTTTTCTTGGAAACATAAGGTGAACTAGTGAGAGGCATGTCTAGCAGTGGGGCAGACCCACACCTTCTCTGAGGATTCAAGGGGCCATCAAGAAGCTGGCATCTAAAGGTGTAGGGGAAGTGGGAAGGGTAGGGGAAAGGAAAGAAGCAAAAAGAAAAAAATATGAGAAAAGGAAAACATGGAACCAAAGTCTTTGTAAATAGGGAAGGGTGGAGGGGGTAAAGGGAAGGCAGGGGAATGGGGAAACAATAAGAACCAGGCTGTCATGTAAAGGTACAAGATCCCTATGCTGAATGTAACTGTAGTGTATACCTAAAAACTATCAATAAACTTAATGAGAAAAAGAAAAAGCTGGAATCCCATCCTCAGGTTTTCCTTCTAGAACACTTGCGGGCACCTGCTGTCAGTGTGCAAGGTAGTTGGCCATGTCCCCTGGGTGTGCATACATCATTACTGTTGAGGGTAACTCGTACCTGGCCAGGAGTTGAGGAGATGCTCTGTTTCAATGCTGGAAGGGAGCATCTGCTTGTCAGGGCTGCCTCCCCCAACTGACATCCCCAGGCCAAGATAGGCCCTTCCAACTGTGAGGAGTGAGGTATTCCTGGGGTTTAAGTGAAGCCACTCCAGGTGTCACTGTCATGCTCTACTGTCACAGAAAGGTTTGTGGCCCAAGAGCAGCAATGAACAGGCCTCTTCTGAGCTCTGAGTGCCCTCAACTCTGGAGAGCAGGCATCTGTGAGACAAAGAGGAGGAATCCAAGGTTTAATGTTTTAAAACAATTTTACATCAAGGAAACTGCTCTTCAACTTTATTGGCTTGGGAACTCTAGCTTCTTTCTCTTGGTTTCACGGCAGAGTGATGCTTTTGTGTACCCTGACTTGACTCCGTTCACATTTCCCTCAGTGATTGACCATGGGACAGGGTTGGGGAAGGTCACCTCGCCTCTGGCCCTCCTTTAGCTCAAGCTCCCTGATGCTCATCTGAACCCCTTATGAGTGTCCTAAAGGCACCACATGCTCAACCCACTCCCAGGACCCACTTCTCTGCACCTGCACCTCCTCTACCTCCTCCCTCCATGCCAAATCCCAAATCCCAACTATGCTATCCCCTGGATCTCCCCGCAACCTGCTCACCACCTCTTCCAACTAGGGTGACCAACAGTCCTAGTCTGCCCAGGACCATTCTGACAAATTCCCAGAGAATCCTTCAGTCCCAGGCAAGCTGGAAGGTTGGATACTCTCCCCAGTACTTTTATTTGTAGTTGTGACCACATTGAATCAACCTTCTTTTCTGGGGCTCCTGTACCCAGCACCACCTTGGCAGGAGCAAGCCTCAAAAAATCTATAATTGGTGAACAAGAAAGGTTCAGTGTCTGTTCCTCAAACACTGAACATCTGTTGCCTTGCTGTCAAACACATCATCTCTAGGTCCCTGCCCCGCTTCTCCCCAATATGCCTTTTCATTGGCCTATAGGCCTTTATTCTAACACATGCCAGGTGACTTCCCTTCTGCAGGGACTCCAGCTAGGCCAATTGTCCACGTGGGGTCCACATCACACCAAAGGCCACAGCTTCTTCATCTGCTTGAGACCACCATGAGTTTGTCTGGGAAGTGTGATGTTTACTGGTGCCTGCCCATCCTTCGGGTGACACCACGTTGTAGAGCACTGAACGTGGCCAGCTGGCATGGAGGGTGGCAGAAGGAACAGCAGGTCTCCCCACTCTTCCGTTGCTGTCACCAACACGACCTGTTGGACAGACTTCAAGGAAGAAGTCCTCCCAAGGTTGACTCCTAGGAAAAGTTGAGCTTCTTGTAAAGAATGGATTGATTTATTTGACTTTTCCCTCTTTGTGACTGCTGCTAGGAAGCACAATGCCCAATTGGCTCAGTGTAATTGGTCCAGTTGTGGCCTTTCCAAAACACAGGTTCACCTCACTTTTCCCCACAAGGTGGAGTAAATACATGGATGGATGTATCCCATGAATCCTCATGGTTCCTATGGGAATGTGCTGCTGGGCCTGAGTTGAGGTCCCCAGTCCAGAGCCCCGGGGGTGCCACAGTTCATCCTGTGTTGGAATGGGGATGATGACTACCCGCCGCCCCAATCCTTCCCTAAGTGCACTGTAGGCCCAAGTCTCTCCCAACTCGCCCTCCTACTCCACAGGACTTGCCTCCTTCCCTGAATTCACAGCCCCATCTGTATCCCAGGTATTTCCACTAATAAATTCCCTGCATATTTAATCCGTTCAGCCAATGGACCAGGACGGACACAACTTTGAAGATTGGTATTGATCAACAATCAGGACAAGGGAAAATGGGTCCATTTGTTAAAATGCACACCTGGCCGGAGAGAGGGCTGGCACAGGCATTCCCTTGGCAGCCTCTGGACAGCTGTTCACAGAGTTTGCAGGATAGGAGGTGCTGGGGAGTGAGCTCCTGGCCCGTTGAGGACAGCTGAGGGCCAGCGGGCCTTCTTACAGCTGTCCCTCTGCTGGTCTTGACCTTGGCCTCCCAGCACCCCAGCCTCCTCAGCACCATCCTGCTCTAGGTCCTAAGTCCCCAGAGCATTTCCATCCCGTCTGAGAGGCTATGCATAGAGCTGAGCTGCAGGGGAAGGACCTGGCTCACATTTTCTAGCCTTGCATGAAGGAATGAGGGCAGGGACTGAGGGCGAGGGGCCGAGGGCCAGGAGTATATGGAGCATGCTCTGGCTCACGAGCAGTCAGTTCCTCTCTTCCTCCGGCAACCACGAGATCTTTCATCTCTGTGTCTCCCAGAACCTGAGGTTTGGGTTTCCCGTGCCTTGGCAAGCTGCCAGGGGCCTCCACCCGCAGCCCTGGGCTGGCTCAGGGCACAAAGGCAGCTCTGTTGGTGGAACTGAGGGTGGAGGCCCCAGCTGTCTCCAGAGGGGTCTGGCCCAGACTGGCTTTGGCAGGAGATCGCTGGCAGATTCAGGTGCTAGGCGGGAGCACTGAGGGTGAGCAGCCCTCACAACAGCAGAGCTGAGCAGGCCTCTTGGTGCGGCTGCTCTCCTCCTTGCTCAGCCCAATGGCTCAGCAGCCCAGGAGGGGCACCTGCCTGGCCAGGCTTAAGGCTCCCCCCAGAGCAGCACCTGACCCAAAGGTCAGGTCATGTGGAGCTCAGGGGCCCCTTAAAATAAGTAAAACACAGGCTGTTTTATTTCCTGATGGATGTGCATAAAGGCACAGGGAACCCAAACCCTGCTTGGGAGGGAGAAATTGGTGGGTGGGAGTGTAAACATCTGAGAGATATTTGATCTTCACAGAAAGCTGAGTACACGGCCCTTGGCATGTGTGTCCCAATTACTGCCTGAGTTCTGCACTTCACTCACTGTGTGGGCGCAGTGTCGTAATGGAACCTGCCCCCAATGGCTCTGCCACTAATTAGCGGGTGACCTTAGGCAACTTCACAGGCCTCAGTTTCCTTGGGAGGGGATGATTAGTGGAGATGCCAAAGGGACAGGTAGGGCCTCACCTCTGGGATACTAGGGCCTGTCGACCACCCAGAGAAGCAAAGTGAAGGCGCCGCATCAGGATATGGCTCTCTCCTGTCTCGGTCTCACCTTGCCAAAGTGCCCCCAGCCACATCAAGGCCTCACCTGGTGCAGGTGAGGAATGCAGACTTCCATCCCCAAGCCCAGCCAGACCCAAACCCCAGGCCCTCTGATGTGTGTCTTGAAGTTGATGGGATTCTAAGAGCCACTGAGCACCACAGAACCTCTGGCCTGAGGAGACAACTACTTTGGGTCACAAAGCTGTGCCCAGACCAGCATGTCAGATCATTCTTCAAGGGCCAAGAGGAAACACAAACACAAGCCCCAGAGAATAGGTGAGAGGTGCTGTGGGTGCCTCATGTCCACCCATACTTGTTTAACCAGGCCCAGAACTTTGCAGGGCCCAGCCCATCTACTATGACTATGACTTGCTTTAAGGTTCTGCCCATAAACATGGCATATAACAAGGGACTATCCTTTAAGAGCATAGAGTTCAGAGTCAGCCAGCAATCCCTGGGCTCCTGCTGGGCCTGGAGCTGAGCCCAGACCTGGGCCCTGACACCTTGTCTTTCTTTCTTTTCTTTCTTTCTTTTTTTTTTTTTTCTTTTGGTACCAGGGATGGAAATGTGCTTTCAAGGCAGGCAGCAGAACCACTGAGCTAAATCCCTGACCCTTGTCCTTCATTCTTGCACCCTGTGGATCATCTCTTTCAGCCCTCATAAGAGGCCCAAAATCACAGAGGACGTGAATGCAGAGTGGGGATGTTACCTGCCCGCACTCTCACTGTAGAGACCAATCAGCCAGGCTTCCAGACACAATGATCCCCTGACTGCTGGGGGATCGTCACTCTCTTTGTGTGCAGAAAGTTTTCAGAAGCATGTCAGATGAGGTTAACTGTTTCTAGGAAAAACTAATGTGCATCTATCTCCATAGTCCGCAGTCCATTCATGAATTATGTCCTACCCTCGCGGGCACATTTCAGGATCAACATGTTCATCCACCCTCCCTCATTC